TGAGGGCAAGCATTTAGTGCTTTGGTAGATAAACATCTGGTGAATGAATGGTAGTGTATTAGGCATTTTTCTCTATGTCATCACATTTTAATCCCCACTTCACAGGATAGTGAAACTGAGGCTCAGAGCATGAAAAGGGCTTATTTGGCCAAAGTCACAAATCTGTGCAGTGATAACAAGTCCTCTCTGCACCTGGGCTGAGCTCCTTCTTGGCCCCCTTGCCGTCTTAGCTTGTCCGACATAGCTTCAGGACCTGGTTAGCAAGGTGGGACACAAGAAGTGTTTGGCAGGCAGAGTAGATAAGTCCACGTGTGAGGTGTCCAAGACAGGGTGAGGCGAGGCTTGGTGAAGAACTCCCATGCCAGTTGGTAATAGCAAGAGCGAGTTTTGACAGCTAGGGTGGTATTTGATTGCTCGAGTGCAGAGGCAAGAAAGGGCGCTGCTCCGAGAGACTTGGTAGGAAGGAGGGAGTCAGAGAGAAAGTAAAATAGCTCAGGGTGCCCTGCAGAGGGAGCACTGGGAGGGGGTTTTGAGAAAAGTTATGGAAGAAAACCAGTAAATCAGTTGCCATTGACTCGACTCTGACTCAGGGCAACCCCGTGTGTGTCAGAGTAGAACTGTGCTCCATAGGGTTTTCAATGGCTGATTTTTGGAAGTAGATCACCAGGCCTTTCTTCCAAAGTTCCTGTGAGTAAACTCAAACCTCCAAGTTTTCGGTTAGCAGCTGAGCATGTTAACTGTTTGCACCAGCCAGGGGCTCCTAAAGAAGAAAGAACATAAGCATGCATCCGTTGAGAGGGGCAATGAGGTAGCCCTTCGACTGCAGGCAGCCAAAAGTCATCTTCTCTTTGGGCAGCACAGAGTTTGACATCTTTTTTAATGCGATGTGTACAAGCAGAGCATGTGCTCTTTGAAGGACCACAGTGCCCATCACTCCCTGTAGTGCAGGCCTAGGAGCTTCACTCCTTTTTGACGCCTGCCTGGCCCCCCGGACATCTGAGTTCATCACCTGTCCTAAATCCCTCCCCCCACCCCCAACGCCGAAGGTCACAGCAACTCCACTGCACTCAAGCTCTCCCACAAACACAAAGCACCCAGAAGTGCTTCCTGGCCAAAGGGAACAGGAAGCGCACCAGCATGCATCCAACTGCTTGGTTTCCTTCAGGAGCACCTTGATTTAATTTATTCCTTGGGTATGTGGCAGTCACCCTTGCTTTCAGCTATTTCTCGTAACCTGGCTCAAAATTATGCAACTACAGCATCTGCTAGAATAGATCCTCTTTCCGTATTCAAACACACACATTTTCCCCAATGGAGTGGATATGACCTGCAGTCATGACATGAGCAGCCTGTGTTCCTACACAGGCTTCTCTTTCCTTCTTAATGAAGCTCTTCAGGATAAAAAGTTTCTTCTAAATTTTAAGGAAAGAAAAAAAATCCATTGAACACCTATTGAACCAAACTATCTTTTCTTTCAATGGCAGGTACTTAATATGAACTTGAAATTTTTAGGAGTATTTTGTTACAAAGAAATCTGTGAATAAATCATGCAAATGATTGCAGGTTCTACGTTAACGCCTTCTTCCCAGTTAAAAGAAAATACCATTACTGTATCTTATTTTCCATTTACACAGGCAAAGGACACATCAGGAAATGAGAGGCCTCAGCTATCCCTTGGGTATTCCTGGGCTGTGCAAACAGTTGACATTATTACTGATAACTGGAAGGTTGAAGATTCGAGTCCACCCAGAGGCACCTTGGAAAAAGGCCTGATGATCTATTTCCAGAAACAAACACTGAAAACCCTATGAAGCACAGCTCTGTTCTGACACACATGGGGTCAGCGTGAGTCAAATCGACTCCATGGCAACTCTCCTTTTTAGGTATCCCTGGAGTTTAAACTAAACATTAGGAAGCCTAGTTGCTATACAGGGGTACATATCCCACACTCTAGTGCTATGAATGCAAATGGACAACCTGATAGATGTGTGTTAAGGGCTTCTATTTCAATGGCAAGTGACTAGGAATTTACTTGAATGCTGTGCACTGAATCCTTAGTGGAGAAAAGGAAATAAGTGGGAAATCCAGTTTAGAAGAGAGGAGGGGGGCACTAATCGTCACCTGTGTTCCAGGCAGGCTCTGCTCTTCAGAACTAAAGTGGAGCGTGCATGGAAAACTTCCAGAGGCTCCAGGGAACAGCTCCAGCCGGGGAGACTAGAGAAGGCTACTGGACCTGAGTCCTTCCCTTACCCAGAAAGTACAAAAACAATCCCTCCTCACACCTTCCCTCGATGTCTGACATATTCTGAAGGGGCAATTGCTCCCTCCAGGCCAGCTCATTTTAAGAAAAACAAAAATTAGGAAAGGGCTCATTTGATTCGATTTAGTGAAGAATAACTGAGTACCTATTATGGGCTTCAAAGTATTAAAAATAACAGGGGGAACGGGGAGTTACTACCTAATTGTGTTAAAACAAAAATCATATTAAGCCAATAATAGAAATTGACTGAAGTTTATTTAATATACAATTTACGAATCAGGGTAACATTTCAACTAGGGAGCCAAAAATGTTCCAAAGATTAAAGAGTTTCCAAAGACCCTTAAACCAACAACAACAACAAAAAAAGTTGCTGTGGAGTTGATTCCAACTCATAGCAACCAGGTAGGACAGAGTAGAACTGTCCCATGGAGCTCCCAAGGCTGTAAATCTTTACAGAAGCAGACTGCCACATTTTTCTCCGGCGGAGCAGCTTGTGGGTTCGAACCACTGACCATTATTAGGTTAGCAGCCAAGCACTACCACAGTCCCTTCCAAAGATTCTTATACTCCATCTTATAGGCATTGCCATGGAAAAGGGGCCAGAACAGTGTGTTTATGTAATAACAATCTACCCTAAAACATAGCTTCTAGCCTGATCTTGGAGTCTCTGTTTGTAGAAACTGACTGTATGTAGATAATTATTCAAAAGAGCCCAATGCCTACAGCAAAACAGTCTTACTAATCTACTTACTAGGCTATTGTTTGACTTAAAGGTGACTTTCAGAAAATAGTTTTCTCAAGGCTCAAGATTCAAAAGAAGATCTCAGGGCAATGACCTGGGTGGGTCACCCTAACTCCATGGATTCCAGAAATCTGGATTCTAGGAGAATTAAAACTCTTTCTCAATGGGCACAGAGTTTCTGTTTGGTGTGATAAAAAAGTTTTGGAAACAAATAGTGGTAGTGGTTGTACAACATTGTATATGTAATCAATGCCACTGAATTCTACACTTAAAAATGATTAAATTACCAAATTTTGTTATATATATTTTGTTGCTGTTAGTTGATTAGATTGTTCTGACTCACGATGAGCCCATTTGTGCAGAGTAGAACTGCTCCATAGGGTCTTCAATGGCTGTGATCTTTCAGAAGCAGTTGGCCAGGCCTGTCTTCTGAGGTGCCTCTGGGTAGGTTTGAACAGCCAGCCTTTTAGCTAGTAGTCAATTGCTTAACCGTTTGCACCACCCAGAGATTCTGAGCCCCTCCAAGGGGCAAAGAGCATGGAAGCCATACTTCCTCCTTTCAAGGGAGATGGCTGGGTATGGTGGGAAAAGTATGGGCTCTGGATTTTGACAGCCTTACCACTCTCCGGCTGAGTGACCTTGGCAAGGTCAACTAATGTCAACTAATGCCAGATGCCTTTCCATTCTCCAGCCACAGTGGAAGCTTGTATCTGACCAGGTGTTCACTATAAGGCAGCGGCAACCTGTTTTGCAATCCTTTGCATCTACTTGTCTGCAGGAATCTCTAAGGCCTGGAAAACGAGGAATGTTTGTGTTAAAAGTGTAGAGAAAAACTTGAACACTGTTTCAAGTTAAATCAGAGAGGCTTATTAAGGGTTTAAAACAACTGCAATTCGGGAAGTACGTAGCCCATTGAAAATGGAACCAGGTAGTCCCCAGAACAGTCTTGTTATACAAGTATTCTTAGGGGGGTAAAAAGAGGAAACAAACCATAGGGAGGGCCCCCCCCAAAAAAATCAGACTCATTGCCATCAAGTCCATTGCAACTCATAGCTACCCTATAGGACAGAGTAGGGTTTCCAAGGAGTGGCTGGGGGATTTGAACTGCTGACCTTTTGGTTAGCAGCCAAACGCTTAACCACTGCACCACCAGGGCCCCATAGGGAGGGCAATTACAGGAAAATCAATGAATATTGTAATAATCACACTCTGATTGGTTACTGATTATTAATAGTACAGTTAGTGATTACAGATAGTTTCACAGGCTGTTTAGGTCATGGTCACAAGATGCTTACATCTATTTTCTTTGTCTATCTTACAAAAATATCTTGTTGGCAACAGCACCCAGACATCACTCTTCCGGAGTACATGGATTTTGAGAGGTGCAGATGGTCACTTGGTTAAGACCCCTCGGGGCATATGGTTTCACATCCTGGTTTTGACCACTGAGAAAAAACATATTTTTCTCAAAAACATAGCCGTTAGTCTAGAAATCCAGATTACAATTAGATAGCACGGTCAGCGTATCATGCCTCCGTCTCACTGACTGCACTGAAAGTTGTCTTTTCCTGAGACAAAAGTAAACATTTCTGAGTATTAAACATGTATACTGTATTTTTACACAAATAACACGTGTTCTATGTTTTTTGCCAGTCATGCCCCCCCAAGTTATTTTCGTAAGTACACTAATTTTTTTGCATGTCGCTGTAAAAAAAATTAACATATCATGCTTATGAAAATACCAGGGAAGGGGGGTGGCAGGGAGGGGTCATTTGGCAAAAAAAAAAGTAGAACACCTGTGTTATTTGCTTAAAAATACCTTATATTCACGAATACACGCCCCTACCCCCGCCCCGGCAAACAAGCTTGCTTGGATGCAGCCATTTCCAAATGCAGTGACCATTTCCTGTGATGAAGGTCTACAGAGCAGAACACATCCACTCTGAAGAGAGACAGACCTGGCTTCAAATCCCAGCTCTTCTATTTTCAGTATAGGCACACAGGCAAATTATAAATGACAGTGTCTTGTTGGTAAGACAATATTCAAACTCATCTTTCCATCACTCCAAAATCTGAGTGGTCTTATTTGAGGAACTGGGATTTGTTTTTCCTTTTATCTTTCAGAGGATGAACAATCAATACATCCGCCGAGAGGTCTTCTGCTGTGAAACTTGTCACGAGCTCAAAAGCTTCTGGGAAAAAGAAATTAGCAAACAGACTTGTTATCGAGAGCTGGAAGAAGATCGTCGGGGAAGAAGTGCTCTGAGAAAGTATGTGGCTTGTTTTTCTACTATTTGTTTTTAAGTAGATTTTTCCAGTTGCTGTCAACTTTGACTCATGGTGACCCCAGGTGTGTCAGAGTAGAACTGTACTCCATAGGGTTTTTAATAGCTGATTTTTGGAAGTAGATTACCAGATCTTTCCTTGGAAGCACCTCTGGGCAGTCTCAAACAGCCAACCTTCCAGTTAGTAGCTAAGCTTGTTAACCATTTGCTCCAGATGTGAAGTCAGAGAGTACTGAATTCTTTTCATTATCTATGCCTTCAATCTTGTCACCTTCAATACCACGGTCTCAATATCAACATTATTGACATTTGGGGATGGATAAGACTTCGTTGAGGGGGGCTTTCCTGTGCATTATAGGATGTTTAGCAGCATTCTTGGCCTCTAATCATTGGATACCAATAACCTCCATCCCCCATTGTGACAGCCAAAAATATCTCCAGACATTGCCAAATGTCCCCTGGAGAGCAAAATTGTCCCCATTTGAGAACCACTGACCTATAGTTATGGGTAAACTTTTTTTTTACATAAACAGAAATGAGGTTCTGTTATTCATACCTTGATGAACTGAAAAATTTCTCCCTCACTCATCTGTTACAGTCCCTGGCACATGAAGTTAACTGAATTTCAGAGTTAGGACAACAGACATTTGTATGAAAAACTAGTTAAAAAAAAAAATCCAAGTCTGGAACGATACATTTTAGGATTCTTGAGGGAAGGATAAGGAGCCCTAGTGGTGCAGTGGTTAAAGCACTTGGCTGCCAACTGAAAGGTCGGGGGTTCAAACCCACAGCTGCTCCGTAGGAGAAAGATGTGGCAGTGTGCTTCCATAAAGATTACAGCCTTGGAAACCCTATTGGCCAGTTCTACTTGGTCTTACTGAGTCGCTAAGGGTTTGGCTTTGGTTTGGGGGAAGGGTAATGTGGTCTTTCTCTTACTGGCAAGTGAGCTTGTTATTCTAGCCAAAGGAGTCTGCTGAGAGGGAAAACTTTTACTTGTGTGAGAAGACATGTGTCACCTAGAGTGTCTGGATCAGAGGACCAGCACCTGCCCCCTTGTGTGCAGGGCCTTGGTGCAGACAGATCAGTTCAACTCTTCAGGGCCTGTTTGAGTTCTCTGTTCCTAAAATGGGAGCAGCCCAGACTGGCTGTCCATTTGCTGAGAAAGCCACTTGCAGCGGAGAGTGAAGCAGAGAGCCAAGTGTGTTCTGTGGACAGCAGGCAATGGGACTTCGTGTTTTGGTGTCTACTCACTGCAGGCAGAGCTGAAATCACACCCAATTCACATGTGTTGAACTCAGTGTTAACTTCTAAAAACCAGTCTTCGGTCCCAGAGGGGAAATAGCCTCTCCATACCCAGAGAACAGCTCTGCCACCATGTCGGCTACATTTCTGGCTGCCTGGCAGGCAAATGCAGGCTGTTCTACTTGCCAGAAGAATCACATTAGAGCATCCAGTCCTGGAGAGTCCCAGTGGAGGCGCCGAGGAGAGCTAGGGTGGTAGCCAATTGTGTGGCCCCTCCCATCTTCCTTTCCCAGTCCTGGCCCACAAGCTCAATGGGAGCCAGATCCATCATGAGCATTCTACTGTATCTTCCCTTCCAGAAGTCCTGGGGTGCTGGATTAAAAGCAAAATTTGCAAAATGATCTGTTTTTTGTCAAAATATTAACATATATCTATATGTATAAGAAAAAGATTTAAAGAAAATACACTAAGATGTTGTTGTTGTTAGTTGCCATTGAGTCAGCTCCTACTCTTGGCGACCTCCTGTACAATGTTTAATGTTTCATTAAACATTGCCCAGTCCTATGCCATCTTCACAGTCGTTGGTTGGTCGAGTCCATTGTTGCAGCCACTGTGTATTTTGAGTGCATTCTAACATAGGGCTCATCTTCCTACACTGTATCAGGCAATATTCTGTTATGATTCACAAGGCTTTCAAAAGTAGCAATTTTCAAAAGTAGATCACTAGGCCTTTCTTCCTAGTCTGTCTTAGTCTGGAAGCTCCACTGAAATTTGTCCACCATGGATGACCCTGCTGGTATTTGAAATACCAGTGGCATAGCTTCCAGCATCGTAGCCACACATAAGCCACCACATTATGACTAACTGACAGGTGGTGGCACTAAGATATTAAGAATAACTATTTTTGGCTGGTGGGATGGCAGATTTGTGTGTTTGTGTGTGCGTGCACTCTCTCATTTTTTCCAAACTTTCTACAATGATACCGTGCCGTTTTGTAATTAGGAAAAAAGTTATAACAAAGGCAACCAATTGCAAATTGTCCATAGAACAAATGCAATAGTTCTCCAGGCTCTCATGTGCCCCAGAAGTGATCTCCCTTCTAAAGTTTGGAGTACTTTTCTCTTCCTTCTATGACCAACAGAATAAAGCTTTAAAATGTGCACATCATGAATCATTTCATCATTACTTTCTCCCAAATAAATTTTTAAGCATGAGGGTGTCATCTCTGCATTCATCAGTTCAACAGTTTCCTCAGGTACAGTTCAATGACATTGATTGTATTGTTGAGTTGTGCAACATTTATCACTATCTTTTTCCAAATTAGTCTACCACCATTAACACGAACTCTATATCCCGTAGGGAAAAAATTCCTCTTTCCTCCCTCCCACCCCTCGTAACCACTACTAATTTTTGGTTTCTTATTTCATATAAGTGAGATCATACAGTATTTGCCCTCTTGTGATTGCCTTATTTTACTCACATAGTGTTTTCTGGGTTCCTCCATGTCATGGCATGCATCAGGACTTCATTTCACTTTATGGCTAAATCATTGTATGTATATAGTACATTTTGTTTATCCATTTCAGTTGTTTCCATCTTTTGGCTATTGTAAAAAGTGCTGCAAGGAACCCTGGTGTGCAGGTTTCTGTTTGCATTCCTGATTTTGCTTTTTCTGGGTATATACCTAGGATTGGGATTGCTAGGTCATATGGTAGTTCTATGTTCAACTTTTTGAGGAATTGCTAAACTGTTTTCCACAGTGACTGCACCATTTTACATTCACATCAGGAGTGGATGAGGGTTCCAGTTTCTCTACAACCTCATCAACACCTATTGCTTTCCGTTGTTGTTGTTGTTTTGATCATTGTCATTCTAGTGGGGGTGAGGTGGTATCTCATTGTAGTTTTGATTTGCATCTCCCCTAGTGGCTAGTGGGGGTCCTGGTGGCACAGTGGTTAAGAGCTACAGCTGCTAACCAAAAGGTCAGCAGTTCAGATCTACCAGCCGCTCCTTGGAAACTCTATGAGGCAGTTCTACTCTGTCATATAGGGTCACTATGAGTCAGAATTGACTCAACGGCAACGGGTTTAGTTTAGTTTTTTTTTTTTTTTTTTTAGTTTTAGTGGCTAGTGACACTGAGCATCTTTTCATGTGACTGTTGGTCTTCTGAATATCCTCTTTGGTGAGATGTCTCATCCCTTCTTGAGCCCCACTTACCAGAGCTGTTGGCTTTATTGACTGTGAATAAGAACCTCCTACCACACAAAGCCTTCTTAATTTGGTAAACAATGAATGAAAACATAGTGTTTTTGCTAAACACGCACACACTCACATCCCAGATGAGCCGAGTTGCACACACAAAAAAAGAGAATCTAGATGTTTTCTAATCAAAACCAGAATGTCAGAACATTTGTTTAAATCCCTGCTGATCTGAACAAACAGTTTGAAACTCTGTCCTAACAGAATAATAATCCTACAGTGTACACTTGCAGCCCAATGAATAAATCATAAATCACTGGGTCCCTATTCCATATCTGTGGGCTATGACTCCCCAAACTCCCCTATACACTAGTGTGCACATTCCATACACACACGCACATGACTCCCACACCCTTTTTTAATTCTACCTTCCATTTAATAACAGGTAAATCCAAGCCACCATGCAATAAAGAAAAATGCTGTAGGTGAACAATAGAAGACAAAACCCCCCAAATATTCCACCAACCCCTTTACTGATAGAAGAACACAGCCAATAATGCCTTGCACCCTGCTCCCCAGCAGTGGGTTTGGTTTTTGGTTTTATGGGTCATATGGTCTGTGTCACAACTACTCAGCTCTATCATTGTAGTGTGAAAGCAGCTGTTTTCAATTGAATTATGTCCCCCCAAAATATGTGAATCCTAAACCCTGTACCTAATAAAGACCTAATAAAGGTTTGGCCAGACTAATGAGGAGGCCCTCAGCTAAAGTTACTGTTAAAGAAGTTCCATACCTTGTAGGAATGGGCCTGCATCAGTGCTTCTGCCATGCTCAATCATTGGCTCAGAGCAACCCTTGAGAAGTTTGACCTTGGTACCAATGCTTATAGCAGTTACAGAAGGGAAGTATCTGCAGCCAACAATCAGTTACGGTCCCCACAGCAAGATAGCTGAGCAGTGCATTTTCATGACCACCACACCTAGTAAAAGCTAAAGTCCTCATGGTTAATGAATGCTATGGATTAAATTGTGCCTCCCTCCCAAAAAATATATATATGTGTTGGAATCTTAACCCCTATACCTGTGGATGTAACTCCATTTGGGAATAGGATTTTTTTTATTATGTTAATGAGATCATATAAGTGTAGGGTATGTCTTAAACCAATCACTTTTGAGATTAAAAAAAGAGCAGATTAGGCACAGAAGCAAGCAAGCACAAACGGGGGAAGATAGATGCCATGTGGAGAACACCAAGGAACCCAGAAATAGAAGCTGAAAAGAGACAAGGACCTTCCCCCAGAGCCAACAGAGAGAAAGCCTTCCACTAGAGCCAGTGCCCTGAATTAGGACTTCTAAACTCCTAACTAGGAGAAAATTAATTTCTGTGCATTAAAGCCACACACTTGTGGTACTTCTGTTATAGCAGCACTAAGAAACTAAGACAGCAGCCATACAAATGAGTGGGGCTGTATTACAATAAAATTTTACTTACAAAAACAGGCTACTGGCCAGATTTGGCCTGAGGGCCATAGTTTGCTAATCTCT